GAGGCATGGCGGCGTGACCTGTGCGGGCGGAGAGTGGAGAATGTCTGTCCCAAGCCGCCTCCTTCCCTGGCCCCAGAGGTCAGGCCCGCAGCGCCGCACGCTCTTCTTCCTCCCAAGAGTCAAGAATCAAAGCGTCTCGTTTCCCGGGACCCAACATCCCGGAACGAGCCTCCGGCCTTTCCTTCCTCAGACCCAAGCGTCCGGGCTCCCTGCACCCTCTTCGCTCACTCACGGATTTCAGGTCTGGGTCGATCCAAGCCCCCAGCCCCCTTTTATCCTGGGACCTCGGAGAGCTGGTGCCCAGCCCGTCTTCCTCCGGATCTCAGCCTCCAGCCCCTCTAGTCCCCCACCGCCCCTCCTTCCTGGGACCCAGGCGTCTAGAGACCCCGGCCCCTCACCTCTCCTTCTCCGCAGAGGGCGTTCTCCCGGGCTGGGACCTCCGTTGCGTTCTAGGCGATTTCCCCCCAGGCCCCGCCCACTTTCCCCGCCGAAGACCCGCCTCCCGCTATCTGATTGGTCCACGCTAGCTCCCGCCCGCTCGGTTCTTGCCTCGTGGCCCCGCCCCTTGTCGAAGTCGCTCGCCTTTTCTCGAAAGGCTTGCCTCCTTTTCGCGGAAGCTCCGATTCTTGACGACACATTTCCTGCCTTTTAGGGCCTAAAATTTAGGCGAAAGCGGTACGGAGACTTTCAAAGAGAACTACAACTCCCCGTCGGTCCGGGGTAAGATGACGTAACTTCCGCACCATCTTGGCCCCTTTGCCTCATGGGAGTTGTAGTTTTCTCGTTTGTGTTTCTGCCCTAGAAGTGGCGTCGGCAAGTTACAGATCAATAGCAATCGTCCAGGTCGCCTTCTAAGTTTCTTATAGGAGTGAGAGGGGTAGAGCGAGAGACTGCGCTGCGACCTCTTCGGGGTCCCTTTAAGGAACACTCGCACCCCCTTCCAATTTAGAACCCCCAGAGCAGGGTAGCCTGGCTGCGGCAGAAGCCAGGGGTCATTGCTCTGTTGGCAGTTGAGCCTGAGGGAATTGGAGGGAGGGAATCCCTCCTCCCTCGGAGCCCTCTTCATTCCCCAGCTTTATTTCCCGGAGACCCAGAGATTAGGTCCCCAGCTCCCCCCAAAAGTAGTCAGGTATGTTTAGAAATTGGCCAGAGGGGCAGAGCGCTGGGGCGTGAATGTGAAAAGCCTCTGCAGGCACGGGGGAGGGTAGAGGGGTGCTGGCGGTCTGGTGTTTGGGGCCCAGATTTCTGAGTTCCCACGCCTGGGTGCAGGAGAGAGGTATTTGGGGGAGAGAGAATTGGACTCCTGGGCCCCTGTTAGTGCCAAAAAACTGGAATAAGGCTGCGGTTTCCCTGGACGGGAGGAGGTGCTGGAATTCAGGCTTCCTGGTTGCTGAATAAAATGTAGCGCTTAAGATCAGACGTTGCGGGGGGGGGGGGGGGGGGGGG